GCTTGAGTTTGTTTGCATACAAATCTTTATTCAAAACATCATAGCTCATTTATAATCCCAAAATTTTCTCAACTCCTTCGTTTTAAACAAGGGTTGAATTACCATTCCTTCAGGTCTCCTAGATATTATGTTTTTATCAGTGTGTCCTGCACACAGACATAAAAACATAAAAATAAAACTACAGTATAGGTATATTCAAGTTCTTCTCATATTTCATTACTATAAGAATGGGTATTAAATTTCACATCCACCCCACCTTCCTCCCAAAGCAGAATTCCAAGCGGAGAAAAAAAGTTAAAATGAGCAGCCCCCCCCTTTTCTTTCTGTCTCTCACTCTTAAAGCAACACAGCCAGCTGAAAACGAAGGGGGAGGAATAGCTTTCTCTCCTTCACATGAATTTGCCATAAATTCTCTCACATTCTCCATGGAACTCTTCTCATGCAAACACTTGCTAAAACAATAAAACCTGCAGTTTAAATGGGGGAGAAACTCACTCACACACACACACACACAGAGAGAGAGAGAGAGAGACAGGATCAGCATATCCATACATTCACTTCCATTCAAACTGCTTGTATAAACACTTTCATATAGGGATATTTCATTTCATACTTTCTCTTGACAAATCAATAACTATTATTATTATTTCAAGGAGCTGTTCAAAAGCCAATGAGCTCCTTTCCCTCCCCTAGTAAAAACTATCCTCTTCTTCCCACACTGAGTAAACTTGCTGTTCTCTCGCGCGTTTAGGGCAATTTTTTTTTTTTTAAAAGTGGCCCTTCATTCCACATCCAAAGCACGTTGTCTCCTTATTCTGGTATCCACCTTGAAATCCTCCAAATCCCCTTCCTCTACTCCCATTAACATACTGGTTCCTTTCATCCCCCCTATATCTTGTCTCAAAGGGACTTCTTATCCCCAAACTCTCTTCTAGGAGGTTTTTCCTGCTTCATTACTTGCTGTTCTCTTGCTACCATCATCTGTCACCCAAATTAGCGCATAATCTAATTCATTATCTAAACTCTTACATTTCTTTTTCTTCACATAGTTATATAAATTGTGACACTGAAAATAATCTGTGGAGCCATTCCTTGGCCACTCCACATTATCGTCCTCCCACCAAACAAAACAACATAAATTGACCATATCTTCTTTATTCAACCCCAACCTCAAAATCTCCCGGTTATAGGGCGGGGATCCCCATCCAGCCAATATTTTGCCCAAAGGGCCATTCGGGTCGATTTTAAGTTTGGGGTTTTTACGGATCCTTTTAACACACTTTTTCCCCGGATTGGTCGACCCTGTATTGCCCCCCATTTCTTTTATGGGTGCTCAGCCTATCTTGAGTATGTGTGCCTATGTCCCTCCCAGCAACTCCTTCTCAATTCCACACGTCACCGTCTCCGGATATTCAATAATATCCCCTTCACTCACTCCGTCCTGCAGACCTCCCCGAGGTCCCTCAAAAGGACTTCCACCCGGCCCCGTTGCCAGTTCTCACATCCACACACTCTATCCCGACCGCCCTGGACTCTTGTGTTCTGGTGTTTTCAAACCAGTACTCACCAGGGTCTGCGCGCAGATGTTACCCGGTCTGTCTTCAGGCTGTTCCGCACTTTATTCACCCTTCTCCTAATACTCGTCTTTATTAAAATTTTACGGGTTTTCCAAGAGCTCCGCAGTCCTCTGGGTGGTTCCCCTCCTTTCAAAAGGAAAGGGGTGCACCTAAGGAGGACCCCTCAGAGTCCCAGCGCAGATTGGATCCCGGTCGAGCCCCCAATTTGTTTGTAGAATTCCTTGAAAGAAATTCAGAGACGAGGTTCGGAGTAGCAGAATAAAGTTTCTTTTATTATCAAAGTTGAGTTTAGTAAAAGAAAACGGTTTGCAAAGCGTGGTGAAACTTAACCATGCACTCCCAAGAGTTGCAGGGAAAAGCCACACCTCCTACAGAAGCGTAACAGCAGTTATACCCCTCCCTATCTCCTCCTATACCTACGTCAGCTATTCCTGACGTGGCAGGTCACAAACCTATCAGACGACACAATTATTCTATCTTACCTCCTACCTTACCATATATGGGTATTCTTTTGTTCTCTACATGCGGACATTCTTTACTTAGTTCCAGGCACGTACTCAGGTTTTCTTGCACATGCTCAGTGAGCCTGTTGCTGAATAGAAAATTTTAAACTTTTCTAGAACCTTCCCATTCAAGGCCATCGGCATGACCCATTTCTTTTCCTGGTTTGTGAACCAAGGAAAATGGACCATCTCAGCATACGAGGAGAAATGATATGTGGGGTCTCTTTGTTAGAGGTAAACAACCCCAGCAGAGGCTTATGGTCAGTATAGACCATGAAATGGCGGCCATATAAGAAATCATGAAATTTCTTAATGCCAGCCACTATAGCCAATGCTTCTCTGTCAATTTGAGCATAATTACACTTTGCAGAAGACAGAGTCCTTGAATAATAGGCCTCAGGGACCTGTGTCCCATCAGCCTTCAGATGGCTAAGTACAGCTCCCACCCCATAAGGAGATGCATCGCAGGCGATACAAACAGGCAGTTGCTCATTGAAATGTGCTAAAAGAGCATTAGACGTGAGCAAGGCCTTAACCTCATTGAAACTCTTGTCATGGACTTTAGTCCACTGCCAAGGAGCCTGCTTGTCCAAGAGCCTGTGTAAAGGCTTTGCCACAGCAGCCTTATGTGGGAGAAAGGCATGATAAAAATTTAATAGCCCCCAAAAGGCTTGTAGCTCACTCTTAGATTTAGGGCTTGGGGCCTGCTGAATAGCTTGCAATTTAGTTTCAGCAGGGTGAATGCCTTGAGCATCTATCCTGAATCCTAAGAAGTCAGTAGAAGTGACTCCTATCTTTCAATTATCCTTCTTTAGTTTAAGGCCTGCTTTTCAAAAACGAAGCAGACAGCCCTTAATCTCTCTGCTAAGTTTTGAGATGACTCTCCAGCAATGAGGACATCATCAAAATAGGGACAGACTCCAGGAATACCCCAAAGTCTGCTCTCCATGACACTTTGGAATATGCCAGGGGCTACATTTACCCCAAATTGCAGTCTCTTGACCTTGAAGTTCCCTCTGTGAGTTACAATAGTCTGTGCCTCAGCAGCTGCTCATCAACAGGTAGCTGTTGATAGGCCTGTGCCAGGTCAAGCTTCGCAAAAATGTGCTCCCCTTTGAGGAAGACCAGGATGTGACTTACTACAGGTACTGGATAAGCGTGCTGCTGCAGTGCCTTTTTCAGTGTACACTTGTAGTCTGCACATATACATATGTCCCCATAGCCTTTAGAGGCGTTATTATGGGGGTTTCTCATGGACTTGAGTCTACAGGTTCTAAAATGCCCTGCTGGAGCAATTTGTCCAGCTCAGCATCAATCTTGCCTTTGAGGGCGAAAGGTACCCTCCTAGGCTTAAACCTGATGGGCATGATGGTTGGGTCTAACCGTAGCGAAACTGGAGGCCCCTTATAGGATCTAAGCTCTGAACTAAACACATCTGAAAACTCCTTGCAGACTTCTGCCAGGCTCAACGTTTGCAAATGGTGCAGCCCAGTGACCTGGATTCCCAGAGCCTCGAACCAATCGAGTCCAATAAAACTCGTGTGTTCACCCCCAACAACCACACATCTAGGGGACCTTCAAAATCCTTGTGCTGTACCTTAAGGGTGGCCTCCCCCTTAACACATACCATAGAATTCTGAAAATATGTGAGTATTATATTGTATGGCCTGAGTTTGGCTCGAAAACCATTGCTGTTGCAAATCCTTTTGAATGTGTTAATGGAAATAATGGAGAGAGCAGACCCAGTGTCCAACTCCATGGATAAAGGAACCCCTTGCAACCCTACTTTAATGGACAGATTCTTCTTTAGGGGTTTATGTGTGCCTGTCCTCAAAATACTCCTGCGCGATCTGCAGAAACCCACCCTATGTTGGCTGGGGATCCTGGTACCTTTCAGACGCAATTCTTCACGAGGTTGGACCTTCTGGCGACCCAAACAGACAAATGCAATGTGGCCTTGCCTGCCACACACTCTGCAAATGGCAGAGCGGAACCTTTAGTCAGCTCACTTGTGGCGTCCTCCACACCAGAAGCATTGAAGAGCTGCTGGGGCCTTGTCTGGACATTCCTTCTGCCTCCTTTTAGCTGTCTGGTAAAGCCTATCCACCTCTTCTTCAGGATCTGCTTCCGAACCTTCTCGAGCATCCTCTTTATGGACGGTGGCTGCCTCTGGAGGGCTCCTGGTGGGCCACAAAGTCTTTATTGCCCCGCATGCTGCTTCCTCAGCTGTCACCTCTCGTAAAGCATCTTGGAAAGAGACATCTTCTTTTGTGAAAATCTTCTGCTGCAAATCTCTGTTCCTTAAACCGCATACAAAGCAATCTTGCAGCCTCTCTTCCAGATCCTTGAACTCACACAGTCTGGCTGCTCACCTTAAGGCCGCAATAAAATCCTTAGCAGATTCACTTGCCCTCTGGTCCCTTTGCTCAAACGTGTGCCTCCAAGCAATAACAGACAACTTGGGCTGGAAATGTTCCTTCAGCAGTTTCTTCAAATCAGTATACATTACTGACTCCAGAGGTGCAGGGGCCACCAGGTTCTCTGCAATTTCAAAAGCTTCATGTCACAGAACACAACAGGGTTGCAGCCTTCAAGCCATCTTCTCTAATCTGGTTTACCCTGAAGTAATTCTCCACCCTTGCAACATAGGATTCCCATCTCTCTGGGTGTGAGACATCAAATTCGGATAAATGACCAATCTTCGCCATCCTGTAGTTTAAAACCTTCACCACTCACTCCTCTGCAACTTCTATTGGGGAAAGGGTCTTTCAGCCGAGCTCACCCTCCAGCAACGTTATATTGGCAGGCTGGGACGCTGATTCCAACGCCGTCTTCCCCTCTTCAGGACTTCTTGGGTAAGTCTTTAAAGCTTTCTTTTCTTCAGCTTGTAAAGCATCCCACCTTCATTGCCAGTGTTAAGTCCTTTGATCGTGGGTGAATGAGGAAGACTCATTGTGTAGTTAACAGCTCTTTATTCGTTTAACAACAACATCCCAACAACACAAACGGCATGCAGGCCTCTCTTTATCTGCCCAGAGACCCAGACACAATGGCAACAAGTAGCAGAGCATTTGTGCACCCTGCGCATGCACGCAAGGCTGGCACCACTCAGTCTGGTCCCGGACAGCTTTTGGAATGCCCAGGACCAATGCAACGTCCCGAGCCTGCTTTTGCAGCTCAGGACACAACAGTTGCTACCAAGGCAACATCAGATAAAAGGAACTTGAACATCAGATAAAAGGAACTTGAGTCCTGGCCAAGAAAATAACTTAAAAAGCAACTCAGAAAAGTCCCTTCCTAGCTGACAGAAATATAAAGAGAGGAAGAGGAAAGCATACATTACAAGTTTCTGTTATTACAAGTATTTCAATAAAAGCATCCCAAGCTATATAATATTGGTCTCTTAGTCTGATTTATTTTCTTGGATTGAAACATTATCTCTTTCTTTCTCATCCTGATTCATATATATAAAGAAGCATGCAACACATTAATCATTTCCCCCTATTTTCTCTTTTTTCCCATTTCTTTTTCTTTTCTCTTCTCTTCTTTTTGTTGCTTTTCCTCTTCGCTGCATTCCCAGTAACAATTACAACCTGAAAAAAATGGCCCATTAGTAATAATTCAAATATAGCTACTCCTGCCCCAAAAATCTAATTGCTACCCTGGAGAAATTGGGCCAGTATCCCACAGGAATCCCTTGTCAGCAATAATTCTTTTCACAAAAATGAGTATCCCTATGCTGTAATTAGATTTTTAAAAGATAAAGTTCTCTTTACTTGAACTTAACCTGTTTTGAATTCTTAAGATCAATTGCTCTAGATTGGGGATAGGTGTGGATGGGGGGGGCAAATTAAATCTGAAAGTGTTGTGGGACAAAAATAAATCATAAACACTGCTCATTCTTGTTGCTTAGGTGGCCTGTATGTTCCCTTCTAATTATTGTACAGTGTCTGACCTATTATGTCCAAAAGATCATTGTATTAATTTTCTTACAAAATGAATGGATGCAACAGATGGAAACAATTACTGTATTTTCTGGTGTATAAGATGACCTGGCGTATAAGACGAACCCCAACTTTGGCGCCAAGTCGCATGCCTAGAAAGTCGTCTTATATGCCGGAAACTACCGTTATTTCCAGCATATAAGATGACTTGGTGTATAAGATGACCCCCGACTTTGGCGCCAATTTCAACACTTTCGAAAGTCGTCTTATACACCGGAAAGTATGGTAGATGGGTGCTCAAAGATAGATGGAATTATTGTATAAAGAATTAAAATTATGGCTTTGGAGGATATGCTCTTCTTGCTTCCTATTATAACAGGGAAAAGTTTCAATTATGAGATTCAGAATAGCAGAGCAGTAACTAGAAAAACCAAACCTAGCCATTTGCATTTCCTTGACAAGCAGCTACTGAACGTCAGGATATCTTTTTCACATAATGTTGGTACATTTGTTTTAGCATTGGATAAAACACAGTTAGGAAACTTTACAAGCCAAGCTTTGAGCAGCATGCCAAAACTTACTACAAGTGAGGCATATTATGGCTTTGAGCCATCTGGAAATCCAGCCTGTGTTTACAACAAATTTGAAACAAATTATAGAATTGGATTATGAGGAGGAATGAGTATGAATGTACTTATGGAAAAGTGATTGTTTCTTGGATAAACTGTTTTCTACTATCTACTATCCATCAGAAAAAAAGGGAGGGAGAAGACAGATATATAGCAGCCTTCACCATATTTACAATGATCCAAACAAGTTGACTGATCCTCAGAGCTGAATCACTGTGGAGGAAAGAGAAGACAAATGTGTCAGTCCAAATGCAGAGGAGAGCAAAATTAATTAATCACTTTGCTGCCAGCACTATCTCCGTGGCAACCTGTGGATACTGCTTGATGGAGATCTAGGACGCATTCTTTGACCTTTGAATAGCGCCTATGCATTCTTCCATCTGCATGCTTCATTTGTGATGGCAGTTATTGGAGACACAATTTTCTATGTAATTTATGCAGACTGATACATGCAAAAAGTTTCTAGGTATTTAAGCCCTATCACATGTAAAGAAAAGAACATCAGCTTCTTGGCCACACTTTGACTTACCAGTATTTACATATTCCTATTCTGTGCAGATGTAAGAATATTTCCATTCACATGACTAAATATTACTTCAACAAACTAAACTACATAAATTAGCCGTTAGGCCCATAAAAACATTTCAATAACATATACCAAACACTTTAGGTGCATATTATGATTATTATAAGCAGTAAAACAAATATATTCTTTTGAGTCCCATGATGGAGCTTACTGTCACAATCATTTCCTTTCATGTATTCCTTGCACCCAAATTTATGTGAACTATGTTTTTTTCTTCTGATTCCCCTCTCTTTTTCTTCATTGGCTTGGCTCACACAATATCCCATCCCATAATGCTGAGGCTTAGCTCAGCATGTGAACTACAGCTATTTTAATCCATTGACCAAGTTTTTGGACCTTAATATTTTTCATGAATTAAGCTTATTGTGGAATATTGAATAAACCATAGTTATGCTATTACAAGGAGTGATATACAAACCCAATTGCTATGTCATATTCTTCCATATACCATGCATATCACTAAATCTGGATAATTGGACAACTTAATTTATTTCTGTAGTAAATATTATGTAAATTGTTTCATAAAATCAATGAAACATAGAAAAATTATGGAGTCATTAGAAAAGAAATGGATTTCCTCAATTTGAATTAAACAGGTAGTCCTAATCCAACATACAGGCATGTAGTTATAATTCTTATTTTTCCCCTTTGTTTATCTTTGTTTTGTTTATACTGGGAAATTACAAAGAGCTATTTGAAATTCAGTAGAGAATTCATTGAAAGCATCACTAAAAGAACAGCTCCTATCCAAGCAATTTTCTATTGTTTGGACTTTCAAATCCTAAAATACTCCGCAAAAGGATCCTAGGTAGGAATTCTGGGAGATGAAATGAAGGGTGACCAGATTGGGAACTTGCTACATAACAATAAATCAGATATTATATGCAGACACAGGAATGTGCCTTTTTGACTCTTCCACACCTAAGATTCTTTGTTCTTTGTTCTAGACCTGGTAAGTGCCTCTGAGTTCTATGTTACTTTTTGTTGAAATTGCCAGGGAATCAGTGCCATTTGTAAATATGGAATGTGGAATGTGGAAGAACACATAATTTGGTATATATGCCTATTCTTGAAGTTCAAAATGTTAAGGACACATTACTTCAACAATTTTTTCAGCAGTACTGTCAAGGCTGTAAGGGATTGGACTGAGTATGAAGTGTGAACTCCCTGACTCTTTCTATTCATTTGCAATCAAGAACTATACCAAGTTGATTGCTTCTCTGCACATGGATTGAAGTTGTCTTAATCTGACCCAGACCATTCGTCCATTTCAACTAGTATCTTCTACAGGATAGACTGGCTTACATTTTTGCAGTTCAGTTTGGAAACAAAGATTCAACCTCTGTCCTTATGCATATAAATCAGAGTTTTAACTATTAAGTCATGTCCCTGTCTGATAGAATAAACAGAAATAACATTTAACATTTACAAGTAATCCTTGACTAACAACATTCATTTGGTGGCCGTTTAAAAATAAAATAGCACTGATAAAAACTGACTTACAACTGGTCCTCTCACTTATGACTGTCACAGCATCCCCCATTCATGTAATTAAAATTTAAGTGCTTGGCAACCTGCATATATTTACAATGTTTGCAGAGTCCTGGAGTCATGTGATTGCCTTTTGCAATTTCCTAGTTGACTTCCAACAAACAAAGTTAATGGGGGAAACCAATTTTTCTTAACAAATATATAATTCATTTAACAAATACAGTGATTTGCTTAACAATCATAGTAAACAAAGTCTTAAAGTGTGACTCACTTTAACAATTGCCTTGCTTAGCAATTGAAATTCTTTCTCAGTTGGATAGTAGCTCAAGAACTATCTGTATATAAAATACTGCTGCAAAGAACATTATGCTGTATTTTTTTCCTATCAGTGACCATTTAACTTGATGGAAGAAAAATTGTGTTAAAAATTTGAAATTAATTTCAAGGAAGAAGAGGATTTTAATGAAATTCACATAAGTGAAGTGTACTGAATATGCACTTCTGTAGTTATGAGATGGCCAAGATGGATATCTGTACAATCATTCGTCCCGAACCTGCAAAGATAAAATGAGGAAAACTAAGGCTCAAAATGAACTAAGGCTTGCAACAAAAGTCAAAAATAACAACAAAAATAAGCTTCTTTCAATATGTAAAAAACAAGAAAAAAGTTAAGGAAATGATTGGTCCATTAGTGGGAGAAAATGGCAAGAAAGTTACAAGCAACGGGGAGAAAGCAGAAATACTTAACTCATTTGTTGCATCCATCTTTACACAAAGGGAAGAAACAATCCAACCAATCAAAAACAGTACCATAAAAAACAGATTAGAAACATAAGTTAAAATATGCAAGAAAATGGTGAGCACCTATCCACTGTAGATGAGTTCAAATCATAGGACCAGATGGATTACACCCCAAGGTTCTGAAGGAACTGGCAGATGTGATCTCAGAACCATTGAACTATATTTTTCAAAGATCCTGGATCACTGGAGAACTACCAGAGGACTGGAAAAGAGCTGATGTAGTTCCCATCTTCAACAAAGGAAAAAAAATGGATCCAGGAAACTACAGACCTATCAGCCTGACCTCAATACCTGGGAAGATTCTGGAAAAGATAATCAAACAACAAATCAGCAAACACCTAGAGGCAAACAAAGTCATAACCAAAGCCAACATGGGTTTGTCAAAATCAGATCATGCCAGCAAATCTTATTGCATTCTTTGAGAGGGATGCAAAATTAGTGGACCAGAGGAATGCTGTGGATATAATTTACTTGGACTTCACTAAGGCATTTGATAAAGTAGACCACAACCTACTACTTAATAAGATAGAAAAATGTGTGTTAGACAACATCACTGTCAGATGGATTCATAGCTGGCTGACCAGCCATACTCAGCATATGGTCCTCAATAGAACTGCATCTACATGGAGGGAAGTGTGCAGTGGGGTGCCCCAGGGCTCTGTTCTGGGCCCAAAGCTCTTCAACATCTTCATCAATGATTTGGATGAGGGGATAGAGGGGAAGCTCATCAAATTTGCAGACGACACCAAGCTGGCAGGAATAGTGAATACTCCAGAAGATAGGCTTAAGATACAGAAAGATCTTGACAGACTTGAACATAGGGCACTATTTAACAAAATAAAATTCAATGGTGAAAAATGTAAGGTTCTACAATAAAAACCAAATGCACAGGTATAGTATAGATCCGTGGTGGCAAACTCATGGCACATGTGCCACAGGTGGTACACCATCGCCCCAGTCCTAGGCCTTCAGTCCTATCCATGAGCAACCTGCATCAATACCCGTACAGGGTAAGGTTGCCACACCTGCCCCTGCCTCTCCCAAGCATTTTTTTTTTACTGACCTGCCTTTCAGCTGCATTCCATTTCTTCGCTTCTCAGCCTTCGCCACATGTTTGTGGGACTATCGGTAAAAAAAAAAGTTCCATCAGACTTTTTAACTTCTCGTGAGATCTCAAGAAGTTTGAAAGTCTGATGGAACTTTTTTTTTAACCAATAGTCACACAAACACGTGATGAAGGCTGAGAAGTGAATGGAGAAACAGAATGCAGCTGAAAAGAAGGTTAGTTAAAAAAAACGCTTGGGGGAGGTAAGGGCATCTGAACAGGGGCAGGCACGGCAACCTTACCCTACATGGTGTGGGAGGGTGGGGCACATGCCCTTCTCATGCCAGGCCAGTCCCTGCAGCCCTGAGGTGGCCATGCTGGCAGCGATAGGCAGGGCATTGAGGTGGGAGCTGGCAGGCTGACCAAAGCAGCAGGTGGAACGCGGAAGCTTGGGCAGAGAGGGTGTTGAAGTGGGCAGTTGGGCCATCGGCAAGAGAAACGCATTTGAGCGGAAAGTGGCCTCAGAACAAGTGGGGCAGAGGAGAGAACTTCACAGCTCTGCCTACAGAGCCACCAAAGCTGTAGCTCAGGGGTCCTCAAATTACGGTCTTATTATCTGGCTTGCTTTAACCTCCCGGGCAAGCCATCCAATCACAAAGAGAGGGTGGATGGATGGTGGCGAGAGCCCCAGCCAATGGTGGGATGGTGAGTTGATGGGAGAAGATTTTTTTCCCAGTTTCTCCCTTGTACGCCCAAGGGCATGCTCATGCTTTGGCCATGCCCCTTTCTCTCCTCCTCTCGCCTATTCACGTTTTTACCTCAGGACTGGGCTGAGAGGTTTAGGTCTCACTTGCAGCCTCGGCCTCGCTTAGGGAAGCCAAGCTTTGTGATGATGATGCCACTGCTGCTACTGCTTCTGAGGCGGGCCCCTCGCTAGGCGCAACGGAATGTGAGCACCAGCCTCTGCCACTGCTGCCATTGCTGCCTTGCTGGCCAAAAGGAAACTGATGCCGCTGGCCCTCAACCTCACTCCCACCATTGCCAAAGGACCCAACCCCACCAGCAGTTGGAGTGGGGCTACTGGAGTGGGGTGCCGGTTATAGGTCTGAGGGGAGCAGGAGAAGGGCAAGGTATTTGTGAGGGGCGGCTGGGGTGAGTGAGAAAAAAGGAGTAGAATTTGCTCCTGGAAGATTATTTTGGGGTTGTGAGGGGTTGTGTGGAGCTGAGGCGATGAAAAGTTGGGGGAGCCAGTGGGAGGGAGGATGCAGTCGGCCTTTGGAAGGGCGTCCTGATCCATGAATGGAGAGGTACCGCATCCAGGTGAAGCCCCAAGAGGTAGGCAAAGCTGGAGATGGTGGAGCAGCTCGGAGGAACCGGGAATGCCAGTGCTGGTGGTTGAGATAAACTTCATTGGCCTTTAGGATCTAGCAAATGGTGGAGGAGGGATGGAGGCATTGGAATGTGCCCCATGGGAAAGAGGAATGAGATCCTGCCAGGCAGGTTCTTGTGCCCTGAGATGGTCCAGAATGTCAATCAAGGAGAATATTTCTGGCTCAGAGTTAAAATGCGGAGGGGATATCTCTGAGGATGGTGGTTTTCTTGCAGACATTTCAGGACCCAAAGTGGGATAATTAGTGAAATAATGATGTTACCTAGTTTGGGTCATGAGACATCTATAAGAAAGCCACAAAGCTCAGAGAAGATCAAGGAACCCAAACCACCCTCCTCTTCTTCTCCTCCACTCCACAAACCCCATTTTCTTCTGGCACTGCTGATGTTACCTAGTTTGGTTCATGAGACATCTGCAAGAAATGCTGAATGGAAATGGTACCCCTGCCCTGCCCCCTGCCTCGCCTTGCCTCACCCCATAGGACAAGCCTCCTGCCCACCATCCCACCCACCAGAGACCCCCTGGATCTCTCCAACCATGCCCAGCCCCACAGGCATCCCTCCCCATGAGCAATATTGAGGTGGCCATGCCCATCCTGGCCACGCCCACCCAGTCTTCAATGACTACTGCAGCCATGCCCACCCAGTGGGTCACGCCCACCCAGCATCCAATGATAAATAAGTGGGGTTTGAGTTGCAATTTGGGCACTCAGTCTCTAAAAGGTTCGCCATCACTGGTATAGATGGTACCTTGCTCAATAGTAGTAAGTGTGAGAGAGATCTTAGAGTCCTAATGGACAATCACTTAAATATGAGCCAGCAGTGTGCTCTAGCTGCCAAAAAATCTGCAGTGCTAGGCTGCATTAACACAGGGATAGAATCAAGATCGGGTTTTGCGCCATAGCGCATGGCTGTGGTATTGTAGAGCTCTGTGCCTCATGGTTGATTTCGCCCTACCAGGAGACCCTAAATGAGTCTGAAGTCATCCTGGAGAGGTGACGAAGAAAAAGAGGTGCCCCAATGATCATGGAATGATGGTGGTCATTCTGTTTGATCGAGGGAAAGCCCTCTAACCTGACATGAGAAAGGCTAGCTGCACACCAGCGTCTAGCCCAAGCTACTTGCAGCCAAAGTCCAAGAGCACAAACCAGAACAATGGTGAACAGCATGCTTGGAACTGATGAGAGTATCAAACTTCTCTCCTCTACTCTATAACTAAGTCCTTGGGAAAGATCCCCAAAGTTAGAAAACCTCTGAAAGTGAAGAGATGAGACTATATCCCCACTCTCTCTTAGATGGAAGCAGCAAATTAACCTTTAAGAGGGAAAGAAATATACTGAAATCAAAGTTAAAATATTACAGTCCGGATAAAACTAAAAATTTTAAAAAAACTGCTAAGATTATACTTTAAAGGTTTTTGATGAAACTATAAAAATAATAAATATTTTTGTCTGAAAAAGCTGGAAAATAAACAACTACTGACACCTAGTGGAGAACTAGAACTAGAACATAGTTCATACATTCTCTGATTATTGTATAAACTCAAGAATTGTTTACAGAAAAAGAAAAACTTTGACTCTGGGCTAATCTTTTAGGGGGAATTTACAGGAAAGACTCATTGTGGCTAAATATACTGAATTGCAATTTTGACTGGTTGACAACTGGCCCCTGAATAAAAGAACTATTATAAAATACTGATTTTACTGATGCCTTGACAATTGGAAATACAGTGGATTATAAAAACCATATATAAAGATAAGAACTATACAAAATTGGGCTGTTTGGATTCTGAGTTTGGCTGGTTTGATAATGCTAATTATAGAGACTATGGCACTGATGAAGGACTATTTGAAAGGAGGAGACAACATTGATATTGCATACTTATCAAAAAAATGACAGAAATCCACATTTAATACTTACTCCTGAAGGACCTAGCCTGAAATATCAAAGACCTCCAGAAGCAACATTTCAAGACAAGACAAATACTTTCCAGGAGGAAATGTATGTAAAGTTATGACAGATACAAATGACAATAACTTCAAACCACGAGGAGATCAAAAACAAATTTGACAATATAAATGAGCATATCTCTAATCTAAACCCACAATCAAAAAATACTTAGAAAATGATGGTAAAAAATGAATAAACAAATCAGATAACAGAATATAAACTAGAAGAAAATGACTTAATCAGTGAAGCTACAAATGAAGAGAATTATAATTTAACACAAACAGGAAAAAACCTACAAGACATTAACATAACAATAAAAATGGAAAAGATTCTTTATTCATCAGAACGTCAAAATAAACCTAAGGATAAGAAATGGACTATAGAACTGCCAGCTGAACCATTAGGGTT